AGCTAGCTGGCTAGTAGTGAGCGGGGAGACACGGTGTAGTTCTAGCATCGCGTACTTTAAATGACTTTGTTTACATTGGTGACTATAAGTACACACAAAGTACTCTCATACGTGGTATCGGTAAATTAAAAGCATTAAATGAAGCCGCGACGTTGAGGAATGCACGAAGTTCAGCCATGAAAAAATAAAGTCTAATAGAATATCGAGACAGTCCACTCGATTCCACCTTACACCACTCCCCAGGCTGATACGCACTTCAACACAATGCAGAAGGATCGGGAACACTTCCCCACCCGGGTTTTAACATGGCAAATTCTCAAGAGTTAATAAATCCGGAGACAGAAACGTGTTCTGAGTTTGTAAGCATCCTGCAGCTGGTATTTACTTCTAAACAATGTCAAACGATCGGAAACACTGAACAACTGAGGTTTCAACATGACTACGGCAGTACCAACCTCGTAGAGTTCGTCAAGCTAATATTGATGGTTTGAGATAACAATTTCACAATATGGAAACGAAATACAAAAAGGTCGTGATGACGTTTACATTCAGCGTCGTCATCACGCATCCATCTCCTCTCAACAACTACCTCCTTTCACGATACACCATCCACTTTTTTCCAATCACCCTCTCATCCTCTGCTACTACTTTCTAGTGGGTAGAGTAGACGCATTTCCATCCTTAACGAAGTTAGATGCTCTGCTAACTCCCTCTGAAAGTGGAACTCGCCATACCGCCAATCAAAAGTGGTCTCCCATTGGTATTCCGAGTGCCACATGAACAGAGCCTACCGAGATGGCGGGTGTGGCAATACGCTCCCTCTACACCAATGCCTCCTTCCTGATTTTACCCTCGATTAAACGGACTTAAGAGGTAAATAATAAGGCCTAGTGATTTCATCTTAACAAAGTTCTTCATTCGTGTTCCCCATTTAGACTCACAATGGAGAATGACACGTGGCACGATGACGATGCTGTGCGAGTCGAAGAGAACCCGCTCAAGGCGATGAGTGGGACATCAAATCACACAATTATGTCCTCATCGTGGTGTGCTGGGGGAAAACTCATTAGAAAGATGAGGATGTTTATCCCATTTTGCTCATTCCGGATCTGTAACTCCTACCGCCCTGATTTCCCCACAATTACTCCCAGTTCCTCTTTTGGAGGACAGGAGGGTTACGCATAAATGCCAAATGCGTTGATGAGAAGACGCAGGACCACCCCACTCGTTGAGGATACTGGATACCAGATGCACTAACAAAAGCCACTTTCCCCTCAAAACGCACCCCTCCTTACACATTAGGTTTAAGTCAATTGCAATGGGTAAACAAAAGGGAGAATCGCACGGTCAATTTTATTTATTAACCAATAATGGTGGAATGGAGGGGAGAATGAAGCTGCTTAACTAGTCATTGGTACAACGGCCACACACCTCTCAAAACGTTTACTTGACGGTCCGAGTCGAGAGCCAGAGTCAGACAGATGCGGATGGGCGTTGTCCTCTTCTCCATTGCCCGGATGACTCGGACCGCATTCAGCGCCACAGCGAAGACAGATAGGAAGAAGATTGAGATAGGCTATAATGAAGGCGTCCCTTTTATAGTCCTCTTGCATGCATCATTTAACAGTGCAACGTGCAGCTAGTACATGGAGCAAGGTCACACCCAAGTCCAAAAGCGTAGTTCCCACCGCACACTTGGAGTGTGAATGCAGTTGCCTGCAACGCTTGAACTCCCATGAGGTCAACCTCCATTTGGCTGAATATATAATACTTTAGTGGAAAGTGTAGATCAGAATGGGTCCCAGTGGGAATAGATAAACGAAGTGGCCGTGTATTTCGGCAGTTGGAGAACTAGATCAATGTTATCCTATTTCATTCACTAAATTCATTCATTTCATTGCGCTACAAAGTGCTGCAAGAAAGAAGACTATGAAAGGGGGCGCCTTCAGCTGCCCTCGTCAAGTACTTCCACAATAGCCTTTATCATTCTTCTCACTGTCTGTCTTCGCTGTCGCGTTAAATACGGTCCAAGTCACTCGTTCCATGTGGAAGTGGGCTGCGCACATCCGCATCCGCCCGGCTCTGGCGTTCCACATGCACCGCCAGGTCAACATACTGAGAGGCATGTGGCCGTTGCGTCAATGGCGGATTAAGTAGCATCATTCTTCTCTCCATTCTTTCACCATGGATAAATAAGCAAATTGCATTGTGCGAGTGCCCCTTTTTATTATCCTCTATGGCTAACGCAAGTGTGAAGTGTAATGATGAGGTAAGTTGAAACGGGAAGGAGATAGTTGCTAGTGGTGCTTGTGGGCAGAGGTTCCACCAGGACATTTAGCCTTGCATAGTCTAGTGATTGCACCCGGGACATTGTGGATGCCAAAATAAAGGGGAAAGCAGAACGCCAGAAGAGCAAAGTGGGATGGCCAGTCCTCCTGTCCGCTGAGTTTTTCCTCTCAGCACATCATGATGCGGGAAGAAATGTGTGACCAACTCTCCACCACATCTCATGGAGCTTGTTCTGTTCAGTATGAATAGCCACATAATCCTCTTAACGGTTGCCTCCATTGCTTTTACTACCGGAACCTACCCGAGTAGAAAACGAGAATGAAGAAATTCATCAAGTTAAAATCATCATTCCCTTTTAGCTACCACTTTAGCCTGTTTAAGTGAGATCAAAATTCGAAATGAGGTTAAAATGTACATGGTTCGTATTCCTGTAGTCTGCACCAGGGTACCAAGTATGGTCATGTGATACTCGGTGGTTCCCTTTACTATGCGAGATCTGAAGGAGTAGGCGACGTGGCATCTCCAAACGGAGGGGAAATCGTTAACCAAGCACTGGTAAACCAAAGTCAGCTCACTTGAGGAACCCATGGAAAATAAGTTTAGTAGCAGACACCTTCCTTCTCCAAAATATGTCACCGTATTCGCCGAAGGGCTATTAGCGTGTTCTTGGCACTTCAAGAGCACTCCACAAATGTCGTCCGCCAAGATCTTGTGAAGTATGGAGGCGTTGGTTCAATGATGCTCGGTCAAATATTGCAGCTCACTCAAAGATGAATCTCGGGGTGGTAGTGTCTCCACGCTTGCAGTCTCCGTGGCCATGCGTTTCGTTCAGTCGATTCGTAGTCGCCTTCAGGCATTGGTTCCGTATAGCCTGCGGTCTTCGTAGGCACTTGCTACTTAAGTTGAATCAGTAGGCAAATTAACTTGAACAATTCTGCCTTGTGCGAGCATCATTGTTCGCACAGAAGTCAAATGCAGGTGCAAGTTTCGTTTTCAGGGGGAAAGAGCAGAGCATCCAACTTCGTCGAGAGAGTGAATGGGTCTACTCCATTCAGTCAATGGTGGTAGTAGTGGATGAGTGAGTGAGCTGGAAACATGTCGGATACTAGTGGCATTGCGTGCCTTTTTGTTACACTGCAGTATCGCGAAGTTGCCTCAAAGACAAACTATTCGAATCTCCTCTGGATCAAGCCTGAGGTTTCTGGCTTGCAATTTATTGTAGGATTTGCATTTGAGTTGGTTGACAGGACTGATAAATATGGGAATAAAGTCTAAACGTCGGCCTATTTTGCACATTCTGCAGTAATTTTGTTTAAAGTAACTACAGGGAGGTCAATTTATTATATCATTTAGTCAAGCGGAATGATCAGACATAAGTCGTTTTGGTTCGGTGCCCAAGGGAATGACTGGGGTCCCCTGGACTGACCACAAACTACCATAGCTGTCATCGACACTGAGGTAAAGATGAGAAGACCTCTTTCAAGGGTTCGCAAAATTCAGATGGCCGAATTTCTCCTACAGTTTAAACTGTGTGAGTATCCTTATCCTTTGGTTGATAATCGTGACCAGTACGCCTTCGTCCATCATCAAACGTTCACTTTCATTGTTGCCTGTTGTGCCGATCAACGGTGTCCAGGTTGCACTGGTCTGCGATGCATTCACCAACCACTGTTATGGGCAGAAAAGATTCAGAGGATGGTGTAGCTCCAACTTCCCAATGAACGAGAACTAAGATATGTGGGGAACTGATAGCCTAGTTCAGGTTGAAATGAGCTTTAGAATTGCCTTCAATTAGTAGAAGATCAACATTGTTGACCCCTTTTTTGTAGTATAGTAAGTGGACCGGTTCTATCAGTTGACTGTTATAGACTGCGTGTTGCCAAGTAATCAGAGTTAACATTTCCATCATAGCATTAAACAGACTTCATTCGACCACATTTTTTACTGACATGCGATACAAACGCTGAGCTAGAAAAAACTCCCCCAATTTGGCCTTTTTCTGCAATTTTTGTCACTTTACAGTTAACAAACGCTGCAACTTTACAGTGAAGGCTTAAACTCACGGGTCTTATTACTTGCACATGCATGAAAGAAGGTAAATTTCAAGGTACTTAAATCTGAAGTTAAGAGCTGTTAGTTGGGAGAGAGAAAAGCGTGAATTCATCCACAGTTACATGGGTTGACTTGTTGACCTTGACACAAGCTGTTTCATTGGTTCATGTCAAGGCTACTAAATTATATATGCACTCTAAGACTGAATTATAGGGTGAGTGCCCAAATTTGTTCATTAACAAATTTTTCTCGTGGGTGGCTATTTGTTCAGAAAGGACGCGGGATGCTAGACAATGGCAGGATATTCCAGAATAGGCGAGGAAGGTGCAGATAACAGGTGATGTGACATTTTGACACCAAAATGAATGTCAACTAAAAAGGGCACCATAAGCTCCCTGAGACGTAATGATTAATGTCAAAATTTGATATAGCCTGGTCAAATTGTAACTCGTTTTCTCTCCAACATTTTTACTGGATAAAACGAAACAAAATTAATTTTGTTAGGTATATTTTGACGGAAACTAATTTGAACTTATTGAAAGGCGTCTTTTGGCAAAAAGCAATGGGAAGCATTTGTAAAAGCCCCTTTTAAAAAACATTACAACCACAGGTATTCTGGGCCTACTTAAATTCTAGATAAGTAGTTCATATAGAGTTTTTGTCTTTATAGATGGTGCTTGCACACATTATGCACACAGTGGAATATCGTCTACCCTTCATCAGCATCCCTAAAATTAATTCCCCTTGGCTAAGGTTCGGTCTGTGAAAAGTGTGATACTCAGAGACCCTACTTAATTCGATACTGGTAGCCTTATTCCACAAAGGCATTCATTTTTCTGCCTCATAGGTGAATTTGTCATTTCATCAATTCCTTCTCCTTCACTTCTCGTCGAAAGCCAGCATTCTCGATTCGACTTCAAGGTCACTGGCATAATCCTAACCCCCATCAGACTGCTTCATAAATGCCAAATTAGAGGTTGATATTTAAATGATTACCTCAAGTCACTTAAATGGATATAAATTGCGTTCTTCCAGTAAATTTTCTTATTTGGTACGCCTTTTTTGGCGCGTTCGTGAGGTGGGCACCTTGTGAACTCCGCCTATAGCTTTCACCTGCCTCCGTCTGTGGGCAATCTTGATTGTTCTGCTCTTGAATGAAATAGGATTGCTTTGATCTTGTTCTCTAACCAAAAAATAGTAAGCGATTACTTCATACTCCAAGTGTGTGGTTGGAGCAACGCTCCTGGACTTGGATGCGACCTTGCTCCATGTACTGTTAAGTGATGCATGAAAGAGGACCACAAAAGAGGCGCCTTTAACTGTCCTCGCCAGGTACTTTTATGATAGCCCATCTCCTTCTTGTCACTATCTGTCCTCTCTGACGTGCTGAATGCGGTCCGAATCATTCA